CTACGCAAAAGAAATACACTTTCGATTTCATCCCGTAAAACCATTACCAAAGTTATTAAATCGACCGATTAAAACAAACATAAAAGCCGTACGAAGCCTAAAAGAACTCAACAAAAAGTAGTGAGGCCGCCAGCATGCAGCGCGGGAAAATTCGCGAATGAATAAGTCGCGATTGGTTAAGACGAGAGTGGCGCGAGTTTTGTGGACCAATCATAGTGCACGATAAAGCGAAACAAACTCAGCCCCTAAGCCACTCGTTCTAGGCGTTCAGTTGAAAATTGCAACACGAATGTAAAGGAAAGGTTAACTGAAAAAGAAAGAAGTTCCTCAATGTAACTTTACCCTGGACTAAAACTTTGTGTTGTAGACGCCGTACAGCGCACCCGGCGTAGCTCATAGACAAGAAAATATGCTGACTGATTAAACAGGGGAAATTTTTGTTTTGAAGTCCATGACCATGCGTAATCACTTTCATGACTGTATTAAAGAGTGATGTCCCGTAATTTCTTCATAGAGAATTCATATTTCCAGGCATTCACTGTTCAGCACCATAAGACATCAAGTTATTCTTTTCTTCGTGTGCAAAACTCCAACCGTAAAAGCCTTCAAATCGGACAGAATGCATTTCCTAAAACACATGTGAATATGTACCACTGTGTATATTTGATTCATTGCGATCGGGAGGAAATTAACCTGAGGGTTGAACGTCAATAGGACCAAAGGTTCATGACGGCACTCAACCGCTGCGGCAAAATGATATATAACGAGGTTGGCCATTTTATCGGACCGCTTGGTTCGAAGTTCAGCCAAAGCCGTGTTCTCATGCAAATTAGCTCATAGAAATAATAAATGTTTCAATTATGAACTTTTACCTTTGACCCTAAGAGGTGACCAACCCTCGCACCCCTATAAATGACTAAAGAATAATTTTTTCTTATAGTATTGAGCCATTTCCAATTAAACTGAAATTAGTCAAAATTAACTTTGATAAGCCAAACCGGGTAATCCTCTAGGAAGAACTGCAAAGCGAAGCGAAGAGAACTATTAAAATTTTTCTCAGGAAAGCCTTTTTGGAGAGAGAATACAACGTACTGAAATTGCACGGTCCTTGGCCATAAGTCAAACCATACTATTGGTAATGCTCAGCTCACATTAAGATCTTTTGTCACGACATAACTGTTTTTTTTTTTTTTTCAAATTGTTCCCTTCACCAACACTTAAATTCTAATTGGTAGGAGGCTCTAACTCTCAGTAGGAAAATATCTAACATTAAGATCACGCTGTCAAACACGTGGTAATGTTAGAGTCCCTTCAGGGGAGATGAGCCTTTGCACAATTTATTCTTAAGTATTGCTCTTCTCATTGTTCACCCATTGGCCAGAATTTCCGTTGCTATATACTGCTGAAATTTTGATAAAAGAAATGAAGCAATTGTCACCTTGAGTAGTGATTAATTTATGCAGTCTCAATATTCATTTCCTGTTTCCCCTTGTCACGAGGGTCACAACACTGCTGAATGGGGCGATGGCTTTTGAAGCTAACGATTAAAATTTTAGCTATTTTAAGGTTAACGGTTGATTTATTTTCGTTACGCTTGAAAGAAAATTTTTACTGTTCGCGTTTTATGCGACTAACGGTCAAAATTTGACAATTTTTACGCCTAACTGATTAATTTTTTGCCTTTTCTAACGGTAAATCCCACTGAAACCCTCTTTTTCTGGCACAACACTTTTTTCGCCATAACTTAATCTATTTGCTCTCAGTATAATAACAATTGTACATCTTCCAGTAGTGGTGAAAATTGATTTTAATTCGGTGCACATCTGGTTGAATTGGGTTTTACACCCTTTTAGTGTTAGCTTCACAGCTCTCAGTGACTACTTTTTGATGTATTGAGCGCTCTAACTAAGTTATGTGAACCATAGTTTGGTCTAATTCAACATTAATCTGAGTTAAAAAAAAAAACAGAACGGTGTTACCATAACATTTCTCATGTGTTTCTATGCGCGATATCATAGACATGTGTTATTTACAACAGTTTGGTTTTAAACGTACACGATTGTAGGGTCAACTGAACACCTTCTAACAGCTGGAAAACAGCTGGAAAACTTTTTTCTTTTAACCTTTTCGGTGCCACCATCACTCACTCGATATAATCTGTGCTATCGTCCAGGCGTCCCTTGTTCTAAAAGTTCTGGTAACTTTACAGGTCCGAAGCCATATTTTAAAATTTAAATCAAGGTATAATAACACTACTCTTGGCTAAAAACCAATACGTTCTATTTCCTTTGCAAAAATTATTGTTCTTTGATTTTTAAACCTATAGTATCGATAAAAAAAAAGTTAGACGAACAAAAAAGAACTATTCGGGATTGGCAATTACCATTACTTTCGAGAAACGGGCCCAAGGCGGCCCGCTTTTGCATAAATGATGGTATAGAATTTTTTTGGTTCTGAAAGATTAACATGCGTATGATTGCGAAAACAAATGTAAGTCGCTTAATCTTCATTCTATGTGAGGAATTGAGGAGCTGACGAGGACAAAGCAAAAAAAGAGGAAAAACTGAGTTTAATGCAACATTTCCCGATTATCGAGGACGTTTCGATTAACGAACTATGTACTCAGGAAAAGAACATAAAACTCGAACTGCAAAGACTAGTAGTATAGCTATCGAAATGTCATGGTTACTAACAATAACGGCAATAACAGTGACTCTTGTTGAAGGGCAAGCAATTTAAAAAACGTTCAAGAGGATTATTCATGCGATATAGACGAGCAACAAACTTTTCAGTGTTATTGACATCATCATTTTGAAGGAATAATTTAGCCAAACCCACTATTATATAGTAATTATATAGTACCCCAAGAACTGGTTGTTTGAAGGTGGAATTGAATAACGCCACCACTGTGTAACTGGCTGTATCCGGTGGATAGCGCATTACGTTTTACTACTACTGGATCGCGATTTATCCGTTGGATTACGTTGTCCGCCCGATGATTTGCCGGAAAAAGCTCTTTTCTTTTAACAAATTCACCATTTCCTTTGGTTTCTCACAAAACGCCCGAAATCTCACGACATTGAGGTTTACATTTCAAATCCGCCTCACATAAAAAATCAGAAGCAAAAAAAAAGGAAACACTAATTTTTTAAGAGCACATTTCAATATCTATATGAATATTTTAGAAATAAAGAGAAGGTTTAGCGCGGATAGCAACAGCTGCAGTGTATACCACACACACGGTGAGACGTTTGTGTAGATGCCAGGAAAGACATTGAATCAACTTCCCAACTTTCAAATTTCCAGTGATTCAACTGAAGATGAAACTATGAGAGAAAATACAGTCTTTCTCGCTGAAATGAAAAGAAGAAGAAGAAGAAAAGATCATAGGCCAGTAGTGCTTCGATAAACTTCTCACTGTTGGACGATTCCTACCCAGTGCACGATCGGACTAAAGCAGATTTATCAGTTACCTCATAGTTAATAGACTATTAACTATGGTTACCTCGAAAGTCAGATGAATTTTTTCCAAGAAAATTAGCCATGAGACAGGTACTTCGAATATGATTCCACCAACATTTTAATTGATGGATGCACCATTCTTAAAACGAGGTAATTACTGAGGTAAATTTTTCATTCCTTATTATAAACATGCTGAAAAGCGTTTTAAAATCCGTTACGAAGAGAAAGGCTATGAAATATGCAGTTTCACATCACTGTTATTTAACAATTGGAGGTACAGTTACCGCGGCAGCTAAATTTAAAAATCATTCATTCTTTCGAAGGAAAGTTAGTCACGAGCATTTTCACATCAAGTTAGACTCCCCATAATCATAAACCTGTAAGGTTAGAGTAGGGCCCCTCAAACACTCTACTATTTGCATCAGTAATTTTAAAAAGTTTTTTATTTGCGGCTGCAAATATGCTATAAAGCGTTGGAACAATTACGAAGAGAAATACTTTTTGATATGCGGCTTCCGCATACTTCTTACGCAAAATTTTTGCACTAGATCCTAAAATGAAGCCTGATGATGTATTCTTGATGCTTATCTCAATAAATAATCAATTTTTGATTAAGAAAAGGGAATTGAAGCGCTATAAAAATTAGAACAGCTCACTTGAGAGACCTATGGAACTTACAATATATCCACTTGAGTTAGTTGTGGACCAAGGTAGCCTATCCCTACCTTACAGAGGCGAGCTTGCTACACGTGCCTAGTTCTGGAAACTTTTAAAGTAAAACATGAAGCGTGTAGTTTATTTTTTATGACCATAAATGCTCGCACCGGCGGCGACGCACGGCTTCAAATGAGCCCTCATCCTTGGAATAAGCGCCATCCTCCAGGCCAAACATAAAGTAAGCCCCGCGTTGCTCTGTATACTAAGTTTCGATAGACACTTATGGTGGGTCTTTAAAACACAAATTTTTCCTCCCTTTACCAGAAAGAGTATCCGTGTGAATGCACTGGTTCTTTACTCAACCCTTGATACCCTGATATCATTATGCATATTCTCCATACTGTTCTCTATACATTTTCTAAGGTGTTGACAAGAAGAATTTGTTTAACAATCAAGAGTTTCTTCAGTTGCTGATCATTTCCTTTCAGTTGCTGATCATTTCCTTTATTCTCCTGACCTTAATGTTTGATTCAGGGGTGATATTGTAAGGAGAAATTACGTGTTAGTCACTTGTAGGGGTCACAGGGTTAAGGAAATTTCCCGTGAAACTCGTGGATAGCGACAAGACAGAAATTCGATCGGATCTAGTGGCAGAACTAAGTAAGATCAAGACGCAATACGTTTCACACATCAAGATTCGTTTGGTTCGTGTCCACTTCAAATAAAGACACTGTAATGTCAATATTAAAATTTGCGAGGAGAAATGAGCATCCTCTCTTAACTCGACACATTGATATGCGTCTGAACCAATCATTCAATTTCTTACGGTACACTGAAACGAAAAATATATCTTGGAAATGAATGATTAATGTAAGACAACCCTAATCCACACAATTTATTCTAAGGATTTTTTTGGTCAAAAGGGGGGAAAACCCCAGACGGCAGGGTCGAATTGTTCGAGTGAATTGAGAACTAAATGAGCTTGCGAACATTTTGACCTATCAACCCTCTTGTCGGGTACCATGACAACATTCATTCCGGCAGCTCGTGCCGCCGTCACTCCGTTTGGCGCGTCTTCTAGTACAAGCACGTGACGTGGTGACGTGGGAGGAACAGGAAACCTCGCGGCAGCCAACTGAAAAATGTCAGGAGCGGGTTTAGAGTGTTTCAATTCTGGATCGTCAGATTTCACCGCGTGCAAGAAAAGGTGGAAGAGGTCTTTGTAGTTCGATGTCTTGATGTTGTATTCGGATGCACTAGATCCTGTAGCAACTGCAATGGGTATTTTGTGCTTGTGGAGATGACGAACAAGATTTTCTACCCCTAAAGGTATAGAAAACAAAACCATTGCAAAATTGAGAACGATCATTAATTCATTCAAGTCAGGGACATGGGTAGGATTATCCAGAAATTGGGCCCTATCCATACTGTAATTCAGTTTTTGCATTGTTTTTTATTGTTATCACAGGTTATCCTCTACGTATGATGCACGATCCTTCGCAGTAGATAGCGCTATTTATGCAATAGCGAAAATCAGACCTGAAAAAAATTTGGTAGAGCGCTGCACTAGTATCGCAGAGGTCAGTGGTTCGAATCCCGTACAGGCCTGATTTTTTTTTTTTTTTTCAGGTCTGATTTTCGCTATTGCATAAATAGCGCTATCTACTGCGAAGGATCGTGCATCATACGTATTTAATACCGCAGTTCAAAATATATGAACTTCATATATCCATTGTATCAGGTTATCCTCTCTTGTGACAAAGAGCACACAAGCTTTGATTATTCTCATGGTGTTTTACCCAAGTGGCAACTGATGAAAGACTTACCTTTTGCATGACATTGACTTTCCTAGGTCACTATTCAAGACCCAGAGTTAAATGCCATTTGCTCTATCAAGGTAAATTACAGATTAACCTCCCATAAACATGATCGTAAACTGGTTAAGGTTTAAGGTAAAGTTGCCCCAGAGTCATGTCACCAGAAGTCATGGCACCCGAAGTCATGTCACCCGAAGTCATGTCACCTGGAACCGGAGTCATGTTGCCCAAAATTTTAGTCATGTCGCTCCCAGTATTTCATCAAGTTTCCTTGGCAGTTTTCTGACACTGAATAATATTCTTGGATGGAGAGAGGCAGAATGAGAGAGGAGTATCTTGCTTGGGAACAGAACACAATGACCCAGCAAGAACTAGAAAACAAAACTTTCAAACTGGAATCCATTGCACTGGACCATCATTCTTCCCACCAACTTTCCAAATATTTAGTTTGGACAAGATAATTTGCTTTTATCAACTAAGCTGATTATGTTGATCAGCCTTCAACCAAGAGCTGATGCTTGAAACCTCAGCTTTGAAACTCTTTACAGCGGCCTGAATTGACAATAACAACTCAGCTGATAAACCTAAATTATTTTGTTAAACTCCCTCACCGATGCAGCTCCACAGTTTCTTTAGAAACTTATTCCCTTTCTTTATTTTAGAATTGATATCTTCCCTTATACTAATGACAGCATTAATAAAATAGTTTTTAAATCTTCCTACCCAACCCTCTGTTCTTCACTCACTAGCCTGATCAAAAGAATGAAATTCTTACCAGGTAGCAATGGAGCTGATGGAAACAACTGCAGGAGTTTTTCTTTTGATGTCTCAACAAATTCTTCAGCTGTCAATGGCAGCTGAAGTTCTTCAACCAAAACTTGAGCAGCTCCCATTGCACTGCGTCCCATCATTTTTGATTTAACTGACCAATCAAATGTCTTGCCATAAGGGTCTAGGATTTCTTGGGTCACTCTGGTGTAAATTGATTCAGTATCTAGGATGCAAAATATGAAAGATTCTTAAAATAAACATCAACAGTGGTGGATCCAGGATTTAGTCAAGGGGGTTCGAAGAATTGTCCAAGAGCATGCTTCCCTGGGGTTTTTTTAAAATTAGTTCTTTGGAAACATGATTTCCAGCATTTTGAAGGAAAATTTAGGGGGTTTGACTGAACTACTCGAACCACCCCTGAATCCGTCCCAGATCAATAACATAGTCTGCATTATCCAGGTGAGAGAAGTCCTGAAAAGGAGTGTTGCCATCAACATTGAAGAATGTTTTGAATCAGCTGAGTGGAGTTCATCAGTGGAGTTAAAATATTACTAAGTTACAAAAGGGTGGAAAAAAACATGTCAAACTATGCAACTGCACTTAAAGACTTCTTACTATCATATAACTTATGCAACAATATCTATCAAAAGATGTCATTGAAATAAAAAATCAAACTACAGTAAATGATATAATTATTGATTCTTGACACAAAATTGTCTTCAGTCCACATTATTTCCAGACCTTTGACATCCAAAGGTCCAACAAATCTATTGTGCAGAGCTGTGGGTAAACTGTGATCATAAATTGTTTTCAATAACACTTTGAGCTCATAAGTAACAGATAGTATAATTGTCTGATAAAATCAGTACCAGATTGGTCTACTATATGATGCCCAAAGAAACCTCATAAATCTTCTGTTATCTTTCTACAAAACCCCAAACCTCCCCTCTATTTTGGGGCCCAAGATTAGCAAACTTTGATCTCATAAAAAAAAAATACATTCGACAAAATGTCCTATGCTCATCAATTCATGACTGGGTTGAATAACAAAAGCAACAATGTGCTTAAGACATACCCTTTTGACCGCTCTTTTTTTCATGTGTAATGCAAAAAACATGCAAAGGTTTTGCATGTGCACCTACCATGTACTGCTTAGCTGCATTGTAGTATTGAATAAACACCACAAATACTGCACACAGGTACCACCTCAACCTTATTCAAAAGAGAAACCCTTCCTACTCCCTAATGAACTCCTTTTTCTATTTATCCAGCCAACTCCTTGAAAAGTATTGTAACCTTTCTGGTCTAATATGTCACATATTCAATCAAAAACACAGCCAACTCCTTGCATTTTAAAAGCAGTTTCTTAAAGTAAGTGTATGTATATGACTTGGTATCTTCATACCAGTACAGTCAAATGGGCTGGGTAAGTTTCTGAAATTTTGCCTCTCTGCTCTTCCAAAATAATTTTTTTTAAGTGTTCCTTTAAGAAGCAAGCTGCCCAAGATTTCGAACTTAAAATCCGCATCAAGTTCTGTTGGAATACCTTCCTACCCTCTCGATATTCAGCTTTTATCTTTTTCTTTTTTCGGCAGTCCAATTTCCTCTTCATCAAAATTGAAAAAAAAAAAGATTAAACGGTGAAAGAGGAATGTTTCAATAAGGTCTCGAAAGAATCATTCCAGTCAGGTTACCGGCTCACGTTAACCCAATGTTTTTCCAGGATGAGGTCGCGTAGAAGTTACTCCTGACCTGTCCTGGAATCGCGCAATAACAATCAAAGTAAAAGACTTAACTTACCCAACATTAATCCATCCAAGTCAAAAATTACATGAGTGCACTTTACACCAGCCTCGTCCGACATGTTGGAAATCACGCGCTTCACTCTCGAGGGACTGAAAACGAAAACTCATTGAGCTTGGCCTGGCTACGAAGTACTTCAACATGGCGGCCGTCAATCGTCTGGTATTTGCAAGAAGATTGGAGAAACTTGCGTATCAACCGGCTTTGGAAGTTCAGAATGCGATTGTTAGACAGCACCTAGAAGACTTAAAAATCAAAGGAACAAACAGTGCTAAAAACGTTTTGCTTTTTTACGAGCATACGCCCGTTTTTACCGTCGGAATCCGAAGGAAAAGCGTGGATGCTAAGGAGAAGAAGCGCTTGGAGGACCTTGGAGCTGAATTTCACTATACTAACCGTGGAGGGCTAGTGACATTTCACGGTCCTGGACAATTAGTCTGTTATCCTGTGTTAAACTTGGCTTGTTTTAAGAAAAGTTTACGATGGTATGTAGCTTCCCTGGAAAAGACCTTGGTAGAAACTTGTAAGAGGTTTGGTGTTCAGGCAAAAACAACTTGTGATACTGGCGTCTGGGTTAAGGACAACAAAGTTGCTGCAATAGGTGAGAAGAAAATGGCTCATGGTTATGTCAGCAGGTTATTAGTTTTTAGGCTGTGCTTTGTTACTTCGTGTTGTAGAGCGCCGGCTTGTCGTGCGGAAGGTTGAGGGTTAAAGACTCAGACTGGACCAACACTCAGGGTCTTAAAATAACTGAGGAGAGTATGTTGTCGTTACTATGACATCTGCAAACGGTTAAACATTCTAGACTTCTTGGACAAAGGGGGTTAACTGTAGGCCCAGTCTTCTGCCTCTTTTCTGTACTGGTTAGAAGGGGATGTTGAAGAACCTATGCACTTCCCACAAAGGGTAGAGAATGTAGCTCCCAGTGTTGTTTTCTTACATTGTTATTGTGTATATAATTTTAAAAGATCTCCCATAAGTATTTTCTATGGAGAAAGAAGTGGGACAAAAAAGGAAGATAAATCTTAGTGATACTATCTCATTTATGCAAGGCTCAATTTATTCTGCTGAGCATAGCAAGTTTATGCATAAATCTTTTCTTAAATGCCTGTTGGGTATGCCAAAATCTTACCATGCATTTGGAAGCTGTGAAACTAAATCTGCTTCACTCAGCAGTTAGGAATAGTCATGGAGATATGCATAAGAATTGCAAATTTGAATTGCTTCACCATGAAAATAAGCATTAAACAGCAATTGCACAAGGGTATAAGCATTTTTGGCTTGCACATTCTGACTCCTGATGGACCATGAACAAGAAGAATTTTGCTAGAAAATGAGATGCATGACTGTCTTGAGTAAATTGCTGAAGTGAATTCTTCAAATAGTTAAAATGTTTTAATTAGTTACACTTCTGGTGTAAAGTATGTTAGATCTCCTTGCATGAGGCTCCAATACTTGCAATCGTGCTCAATTTTTTGTTGTCCTGTTCAAAATGACTGCATCTCAGCAGGACTGATACATGTAGCTGCACTACGGAGTGACTGTTTTCATTCTATTGTCACTTCTGGCTTAATTACGTAGATATTGATGTTCCACTTGCATTTCTAGGTGTTCATGCAGGTCATTGGATCACCACTCATGGCATTGCACTGAACTGCAATATTGACCTGGGTTGGTTTGAACATTTTACACCCTGTGGGATTATAGGCAAAGGTGTTACATCGCTTACAAGAGAGACTAACCAAGTTGTACACACGGAAGATGCCATTGAACCTTTTGTGGAATCCTTTCAGGATGTGTTTGATTGTTCTGTTGTGTGGGCTAATACGTGTAGGAAGGATCTTAAACTGAATGGTAGTTGACCTTGAAAAATTGATTGAAAACCCTTTCACTCCCAAAATTTCCTTAGTAATTATCCTTTCTGTCTGCTATACAGTTCTTCTTATGTTAGTTCTGAGAATTTTTGGCACTGAATCAACTTATAATCCCTTAATTGAAATGTTTCCATATTCTCATCACTTGTCTGTTTGATATTCTATTGTTATTATATGGCTGTGTCTCACAAGGACTGGGAACTACCGAATTCACGAATTTGGTTGGCTGAAATCAATATTGAAAGCGGTCAAGATTTTCCCATCTAGACCGGCATCTAGACTGGTCTAGAAAAAAAAGGTACAAAGAATATAAAAAATTGGCATATAAGACACAGCCATATAATAAACATCTTAGTAACCGAGATTAAGGTTAGTCTGTATGGGAGAATCTTGGCCTCGTTCGCTGGTACAGACCTCACTGTATTTGGTCTCCACTGGCGACCTCAGTCAAGATTCTCTCATACAGACCTCCTGCTCGGTTAATAAGAACTAAATATTTTTTCAAGATTGCAAGGAGAAATTCTTTCTTGGTCGCTTGTGGGAGTGAAAGGGTTAAAAAATGAAGAAATTTTAAATCTTTCCACAAATAGAAATGAAAGGCTTCCACTATAGATATAAAATTTTGAAAGTATGATTTTTATCTGTCAAATTAAATAGAACAAAGAGATCACTTTACAGCACTCTTTTTATCTGTTGTGCCTCAAATTGGTTCTTGTTTTAAATTTTGCTGTTTTGTTTTGAGCTGATTATCAGACTCAGCATTAATACTGTTTGGATATCGTAACATCCATGATCCAGTGTGTTAAGTGCTGTCGTTATTGACCAAGCGTGAGGTCGACATGGCTGGATATTGGCTGAGTTCTTTTTTTATGCGTTTTTATGGACCGAGACGAAGAACGAGGCTAATATGCAGTCATCTCGACTGAACAAGCCTGGTTGATAAAGGGTTTATTTTATAGCACAAGATTTCGCTTTATTAAGAATGAAGAATGACGGGTTTATTTCGAGAGCCGAAAAAGAAAGCCAACTGTCTAGGTAGTACAACAAACCCAAGAGGGTGGTGTAATTTTTTCTTTGTTTTGAATGGTCTGTACCGCTTTTTGCAACTTCGTTGCCGACGTTGTCCAAACGTTACGAACTTTGTAAGTCCGCTCCAATCACTTTTTCCTTGCGCGCGGGATCAAAGTGGGCAATTCCGAGCGGGCAAGATGCTCGGGTAGTCAATCAGACCACAGGTTTCGCTTCATCTTGCCTGCGGGCGCTGCCAGTGATATAATGACAAGAGATATTGGAGTTAGAAGATACTGCTTCAGAGAAGACTATAGAAGAAGAGTCGCGTAAGAGTCCAGATAAGATAAACTAACTGTTTCCTAACAACTGACGCAGTGAAGCAATGTATTTTTTCGCCAGCCTTAAAGTTTGGATCCTAGTGAGTCTGTCTCCAGGTTCAATTCCCGAAAAGTTATCGGGTATCACCGTGCGAAGGACGTCAAATGCTTCTTTCAAACGTTGCTGTCTTTTCCGCTCCCTTTCACGATTCTTTTCCTTTCGATTACCTGGTGGTACTGCTTGCAGCGAGTATGGGTGACTCGTGCTTTGTTCTAGTTCGAGTTGGAATTTCTCGTGACCTTCCACTCGCTGTGTCGGCATATTCCAGTCTGTAAAATAAGCTGTGTAATTTTGAAGTTGATCTTCTTTATAACCTAATTGTTCGGCCCTAGGCCTGGCCGCTTGTAACGTGGTTTCACTTGGAAAACGATTGGCTGAGTTCAAAAGCATCTGAGAGTTGCATAAAGAAAAATAAATTTGATAATTTATCTTTCGTTTTTTTTTAATTTATCTAAAATGCTTGATACGTATAAATTTCGCTTTTGAATCATTTCAAGTCGTATTTCATCCGTTCGTATAATTTACACTGTGATCATGATCAGGTAACGTTGCTGTCATTGTCAGAAGAATTTAGTTTATCACAGATTCTCTTAAAAACTTTAAAAGAACCGTGTAGCAGGCAGTTGAACAATTTCTATTTAGATAGCGAGAGTAACGGAAACTTCCTTCTTTGTTTCATCTTTGTTTAACATAACCTCTCTGGTAATTTTCTATCTTTCCTTGTCAGGTTATGTTTTTCAGTTTCCTCCGGGTGAAGATCTTCAGTTTGAAGATAGCATTTTTTGCAAGGGATCATTTATTTAACGTACCTTAATGCGCTCAAAAGTGATGCTGATAACTGGATGTATCTGTAGTAAACTGGACCAAAACGCCAAGAAACTTCAAGTTTCTTTACTCCAGAGTCTCTGATCAGGCTATTCACTGACTTTGCGAAGAGAGCCAAAAAAATGAAAGTCAGCTGATTTTGGAAATAATAAAGGATCACCCCAACCAAGTTTTCGCACATTGATTAAAAAATTAGTCCACAAAGCCAGCCTGGTGCCATGTGTTTTCGTCCAAGGATATGTTTAACCTGAAAGGATTAGGAATAGCCACAAGACAGATATTGTCTGATTGAAATTAAGGTCATGGTTAGAATATCTCACCTGTGGTAATTGGCGTCAGGGATATGAACTGGTACATGTATCATTTCACGATGTGTATTCCAGTCCTTAAAACGTTTACCTAGTTTAGAATCATGATTAGTGTTGGGACTCAGATGCTTGGAGTAAACATCCGCCTAGCGACAAAACGCAAAACGAGCTAAAACATTGAAGGCTGCAAACCCAGCTGTTTTTGCAATTTCCGCGTTACGACAGTTGTTGGGGTAGGGGTCGTGCAGCTCACTGAGACCAACATTGGCTTCTTGTACAATGTTAAAAGACGAAATTGAATTCTAGCAAGAATTTTCATTAAGTGTGTTTGTAGACTTATTTAAGTGTTAAGAAAATGAATTGAAATAATACATCATAGCAAAGGCCATTCAGTTAAAAAAAAAATAAGCAGTTGATAGTTTCGTATTTCAATGGCGGTCCTACTTTCCAAGTAGAGTAATTGTTATCTTTTCCTTCTGAGAGAAAATAGTTCATCTCAACACCACTTTCTTTCAGGTGACCTAAAGGGTAAGCAATTTGTAATTTTCATCTTCAGCACAATCTATAATCAACTGAGTCGTGTGAATAACACCTAATCCTTTTGGGGGCCGCGGTACTTGCAATTGTGTACGCCCTTTCTTCTCCGAATTTTCTGTTTATTCTGTTGTTATGTAACAGCCTTCTAATGCTATTTCCCTTAAGATATCTTTCCAAGTATGATTCTAATCCTGCCAGTAAGATAATTATAATTTTCACATTATCAATCTTGTTTCTGTTCTGGCCGATCTTGACCGCAAAAATATAAAATTTAGGTAGGAAGTCATTTTGTTAAGTTACGTGTCAACACAATCTCTTCTGTTCTTTCCAAGAGTCAAATGCTCTCCACGTGGGGATCTTGCCTTAGCTCATGCTGCACCTGCCTTATGGAACTCGTTGCCCTTATCAATCAGAACCAGTTTCTTCTAGAAACCCATATGACACTTTGTTTCATTGTTTCTTAGATGAGCATTCGCTCTGACGAAGGGCTAACGCTCGAAACGTAAGCTTTTAACGCTTTACGGTGGCCAGTTTACATAATCAACTCAGTTGATAAAATCAAACTACCCAGTTACCCCCACCGACGCGGCAGCACCCTTCCTTCATTCAGGACCTGTGGCAGCTTAGCTACTTATAAGAAGAAACTTAAAACATTTCTTTTTAGGAAAGCTTTCTGAAGTAGCTATGGTTTGTAGTGGTTTTGAATACGAACATATTGTTTAGCGCTGTACAGATTATTATAATTTCGCATGGGTTGAATCGAATTTAAAGAAGTGATACTCAACCTTGGGCGTCGGAGTCAGTCGAAAACGGCAACAGATCGAGTTCAACCGGCTCTGCCGTTCATCACGTTTGGCTCATGAACCTCGAGTCAAACACAAGGGTAATTTCAAACTATATCTTTTTTTGTACTCAGTGGTTTGTTGCAAAGAGAAACCGATTAATCATAAAGCCGAATACAGTCATCATCGGCGTCTGAATTAATTCTGCTAGTCTAGCCTTGGTTTGGGAAACCTTGATGCGTATGCAGTTCGACTCGTGCTTACACGTCTCGCAACAATTTTCTCGTAAACGTTGTAATGTTCTGCAGTCAGTCTGAAGAAGTACGACAAACGTGATTCAGCGAGAAAACACCGGCTTTAGATGACCTTTTGTCACCAGAGCGACCAATATTTACGCTTCGTAAGTGGCGCCATAATTATATTCTTCCGCTTGTCAGAACTGAACGTTTCAAGAGGACTTTTGTTAATAGATGTTTGTTCTCTTATTAGTCAGTTATGCGATGAGTTAGTAATTTAGTTAGTTAATTAGTTTTATGCTTGCTGAGTTCATATCATTGTCACTAAACACGTTTGTTGTTTAGAGTGCTTAATAAAGACTTTTTATTTAAAATATATTACTGAGACATAAAACTTTACTAGGTAGAAATGGGATGATATGATATGCGGTGTGTTGAAATATTATTCGAGTGGAAGTTAGTTGAATTCTTTAACTGGAATCGCATCATCTAAGGAAACAATGAAACAAACCGTTTTATGGGTTTCTAGAAACAAACAGAATGTTAGTAAATCAGGTTCGAAATAAATGCTTTGTATCTTCGTGGAACGTTTAGGCACCATACACCTTCCTGTTCCCTTTTTGCTTGAGGGCCCTGTTTGACCACGTGTGAATAATGTCCATCTTGTTATGTAATCAAGAAAAGATGTTTACTTTGTAAACCACCTTGAATTCCAGTGTCCCACACACCTGTGTAAATATAGCAACTAGAATTTCTTCGAGCCAATTCTGCGCCGGTTTGTTTCCGAGGAAACGAAATGAAAATTCTGAAAGAGACCGCGTTCAATAAATCGTTAAGGATATTGATAATAAAAAAAAAAAAAACGAAAAAAAAAAAAAATAATACTAGCACCAGTCTAATTCTACACCTTACAAGTGTGACACCAGGCAGATGACAATAGCTAAGGAACCGCGCAGAATTACCTCACTCGTAGTACCCATTGAAATATCAGAACATGAATCTTATCATTTACTGAGGAAACGTGAAAAAAATTGATCCGCACAGGATTAGAGTTAAACAATTGCAAAAAGGAGGAAGGCCACAAAATGATCGAACGAATGCAAAGGGGTCTCTAATTCCTACCTGCGTTATTACCTACTGAGCCACGAAGCCACTAGTTATACGCTCCGTTAAAGATCTATAGGAGCTACAAGAGTCAGAATTAACAAAGGAAAAAAGGTTACTACACGTCAGAATCAGTATTTTCGTGTTTCATTACTCTTCACTATAGGTGTTCAATCGATACAGTACCACAGCGTTTAACCCTTCAAACGCCAAGAGTGACTGGCTCCTAATTTCTCCATACTGTATCACACTTGAATCAAACGCTTGGGTCATGAGAATAACGGAAATGATCATCAACTTAGGATAAAGTTAACTGACGATGAAAATTACACACAAACACTTTTACCGTAACGATTTATTTTAAAATTCTTAGCTGTGCAGTCTTCTGTTTCCTAAATAGACTTTAAATGTTTTTTTTTTTTCAGTCCTATTTCTTCACTTTTTTCCTGTGATCGTGTCCAAAGGATTACAATGTAGTATTATGTACTGTGTTCTTTTATCAATCATAATTTTCGTAAAATGTCGTTTTCAAAGATTCTCTGCTTTACAACCAATCATAGACCACTTTCATAAATGGCTGCCGTATAAATATTCTTTTGTTTAAATTTAAACTAGCCCTACTGGCCTCGCTTGAGATAATGTATTCTTTTGAATTTTGTACTGGAGAACGAGGTCAGCAAGGCTAATTCAAATTTAACGAAAGAATATTAATCCAGCAGCTATTTATGAAAGTGGTCTATAACGTGCACTTTACAAATTCTTGAGAAAACGCTCAAACAGTCCCTAGCTATTAACTTTTTGCATTTTTAAGATCTTCCCTCAACTAAAGGTAGACAATCTCATGTTTCATCATCCCCAACATGATAAGTCTTAATTCTCATTACCACCATGTATGAAAATGTACGAACACTGTAAGGTGAATTTACGTACTGATTTACCTCTAATACTGTAAGGGTTAATTAAAATGCACTGCAATTAGGGACCGGTCATTACCTACCGTGGAGGGGGGGAGAGAGGGAAAGATGCGTCACGATGAAATTTATGTGCTCTCATAAGGCTCTGTAATATTCTTACGATTGTAACTCGTTAGCAGTTAACTGGCGGTCAATTTTCTACAGCTCCTCCAATCTATAGTCTGTTAGCGACGACTGATCCCCCTCCTCCCCTAAAAAATCTATGAGAAACCCCCCATAAGAAAAATCTTCCAAGCCCCCCAGGCTATAAATGACGACTTGTCCCATTGTTGGGGTAAAAAGAGAGGCATTACGCAATACACCCAGAACACTATTCATTTTTTCATTTGGGTAATTCGAGAGAAAGAGAGATTCTCATTTTCTATTTATTTACATCGTGGTTTAAAAATTAGGTTTAGTTTTTCATTAGCTACGTCAAGAGGGACGTCACTTGATCTGGGGTGCGAGGCACCAAAGTTTTAACATCCGGGTATTTGTTACTGTCGTTCACAATGGCGTCGTAGAGCGTCTTGTACATTGTACAAACGGCATCCACCGCTCGCTTGTGGACGGTATCGCTACAAAAGAACGTAGAAGCATCATTTATAAACGTAAAGAGAAGGAGGAGAAAAGCAACACTACAATCCTAGTCAAAAGTTGTTGAAATGCATTCGCTATTATGTCCGCCTCTCAGATCTTTTCATTTCCATCAAAAAAAGTGCGAATAGTTCTGGTAAGTAGTCAGGGTCCCTTTTACTACTTTTTGTGTTTAAGATGGCTTGGACTGGAGAGCTGGTTTCTGTGCTTAGTTGCAAGGACTTTGTCCCTAGCGTGTGTTAGTCTTTCTGGTTAACTTTTGTACAAATAAGAAGAAATTAAAAACCAAAGATGGTGGCTATTGCTCAAGCGCTTTTTGGTTGACAATCGAAAAACTTTAACCAAGGGAATCACATAAGCCAATCAGAAAATGGGTAAATAATTCAAGGGGCAGATCAGAACTATAAGCAACGAATTAAAGCTGACTCAAACGTAGTAAACTGAGAGTAAAAAATCGCGATTGTTCTGTGTTAATTTTAGTAAAGTAAAACCAACGTAAAACCAACGTAATACCCCTTTTACATTCAACACTCAAATGACAAATGGTCTAAAAAAATTCACGAGCACAAAGAAACAATGACTTAAAAACTTACCGTAGTCTTGTCGTTCTCAAAAGATTGCACTGAGGCATAACTAGACTATCGGGACACGAGAGATACTTATCGAATTTGGCCTGTGATGGAAGTAAAAAAAATATAAAGTAAAGTAATTTTCTACTAACGCAACAAGATGTTCTTTGGGAAAAGTGACCTTTCCGACAAAGGAAAAAGCAGAATCCAAAACAAGAATGGAAGAACACTTCATTTGCAAAAATACGTCGTACTCCACTGAAGTTTATTTTATGTGTAAAGTATTATTACAGGTACTTTATCTTGAACGCAACTTTTTTTTTATATCAGCGCCCTTTGTAAGAAGACGAAGAACATCTTAACATTGAAACGAAAATGTTACACACCATGGCGTCTTTAACACTCTGCGGATCCATTCCATGAAGCGAGGACAGTGCCACCTTGAGAAAAAACACAAACAAAGCAGTGCCAGATGGTTCAAAATAAAGTTGCATTATTAAATTCAACATGGCACCAATATTTCAAACACTTCAGCAGACCAATTGCTTACCTTCTGACCGCGGTTCTCCTGGTACACAGTGTACAAATTACCAACACCAGAACGACTAAGAATGAATGATGCTTGCTCACTGATTAACGTATCTAGGTGTGCTTCCGTCTACGAAAAAAAAAAATTGGAAAAAGGTTAAAACTTTAGACAATTGACATTTAACTGCAAGATTTTGGGATATCAAAAAAGTTTGACAGTTCATCAAGACTGGTAGGCTGGATGGGAGCTTTTTTTTCCTACTAAGTCTTATCAACATTTCGGCAATATCATCAAATAAGCGTAAAATCTCGCATTTGACCGCTCCTTAAAAATTTGAAATTTTGCGGAATATCAAAACGTCCTCGCCATTTGTTGTATCTATTTCGCACCGAGTTTTCCTGATTGACAAGGCCACGTGACAGTGTCATGAAAGAGCCGCAGCAAAGCAAAACTTCAACTGCCCCTCCCTCCTTCTCTTTCGTCTCTCTACTCCTGTATTAAGAGTGCCAGTTTTGTACTCTTCGCAGCCTAACTTTGCTTAAAATTCCAAGACGGCGGCCTCACGTTTAGTGGCTCTGTTCAAACTCTTAACTGTCTAAAACCTTCCACACACTTTCTCACCTGACCCGCTAGCATTTCGATGTGTTTATCAGTAAATTCGTAAACCGCCAACGTGCTCTGTATCTGATGAATGCAGTTTATCATGTAAGCAGCCATGTCTGACGCGTTCAGATGGCTGGCCGACATGGAACACATCTGGATGAGTGGGTCGACCAAACAGGAGATAATCTACGGGTAGAACAAAAACAAGGCCAGGTTAGGCAATTTGCAATTGATTTTATAACATAACCAAAGTAAAGCGCGCGCTCTGATTGGTCAATTTAGCGTCCCCCATTTGCCCATGGGTGTACGCTGCTGACGTGAGCAAATGCAAAGACTATTTTCCCGCGCGCGCTTGTTTTTTCTGGTCGCGTAAGATTTGTTAAATAAAAGGGAACTCTTTAGCTACAATGTATCAATGTTATGTTATAAAACAAATGGTAAACACCACAGCGTACACTATTGAGTTATGGATGCACTTGGGAGGTTTGCTAAGCACTCAAGAAGCTAGAGTCGCTCTCGGCTATCGCCTCGAGCGACTCTTACGCTTCTTTCGTGCTTAGCAACCTCCCGCGTGCATCCATAACTCAATAGTGTACGGTGTGGTGTTTACCATTTGTTAATTGGAGAGTAGTCCGGAATTACTTTAGTTTGCTTTACTTCGCTACATAAATGGTCCAGAAAACTCGTGTGACTTTCTGAAACAATCGGATTTAAACCTAATAACCAGTCGCTGTTTGGTCACGCGCGTTTTCCCGCGCTACAAGCCGTTTGCTGGTGTTTACTTTAAATAATTTTCATTGGCTACTCGTGCTGTCTTCTTTTCATCTGACTGGCTAATGTGATTACTTTAGTTTAAGATTTAAGCACTCAATTGAAATGCGCTCCAACCCACAAAGTATAAATTACCTGGTTACCCAGACATGATTCCTTGATTTTCTCAGGATAAAAATTTGCTGACCAAACTTTAACAATAGAAACCCGTATGCACTCTCCAATCACAACTTTCTTTCCACCCCGTAACATATTTTTTAAAAACAACTTCCAACAAGCCACGTTTATCACACGCCCCATTTTTACCGCTCTCCTTATCTTTCGCTAAAGAAATATCACTCAAAAAAAACAAAAAAACAAAAAAACAAAAAATTTAAAAGTCAGGCGATGAGGGAGCTTGAAACGTCATGCACGTCGAATTCATCACAAAAAAGTATTTGTCTGGCAATTGCTCTTAACCTACCCTCGCATAATCAGCTTGTCTGGCGTCCAGTGGAATAACAGAAGCATCGTGACAAGTAAGGACGTCTCTAAGTAAACTCATCGTTTCTCTTAACGATTCTGTGGGACTGAGATCTGGGGGAGGAAGTTCAATCTAGAAAGATGTTGAACAAGCAGCAAAATAAATTGATAAGATGGAGATTGATATTAGTAAAATAAAAGCAAGCGTAGACGCAAAGAATCAAAAAGTCAAAGAAGCAAAGGAGCAAAAAGGAAAATAAGCAGAAAAGAAAAGAGGCGAGGAGGCAAAGAGGCGAACAAATGATGATCTGACTTCATATTTCAATTAAGATCGGGGAAGCTGGGCGAGAAAAAAGTCTTTGGGATACGCCGCAGCGACGATTCGTATCGTTGGGAATGGAGACCTAAGTTCCTGGAAACGAAATTCGCCACCGTAACAAGTCGAGCTAAGTCGAACTGGTTTAAATTTGTGGGAAAATGGTAGCAAAAATAAGTGTCAGGCACTAGTTTAGGAAACAGTGCACACAACTCGGTTTCCCGTACAGACTGCTCCGGCCTTTACTAGTCTCCTTGGCAGCTGTTCTTTGGAATGTCACACACCTTTCTCCACAGGAAAAAAAGCTTCTTTAAGGGCACGAGCGTTGCGTGACAACCCAGAGAATGGCTAAGAAGGGTACCGAGGCTTAACCAATAAAGTAACACCCCTGTCACTCACCTTTTCTAGCAGTTTGCTTGCGTGACAGTTCAAGCTGTTGTAGAACATCTTCAAGGCTAGAGCATTCATGTCAAGAATCGTTACTGTTACCGAGGCATCTTCATCAATAAGGCTCCTGAAGGGCAAAAGGAGTTAACCCTTTAAACCCTAACATCAGTATGCATATTCTCTATACTGTTCTCTATCCATTTCCTATGGTGCTGACAAGGAGAATTTGTTTAACAATCAAGAGCTTTATGCAGTAAATGGTTTGAACCCGGGGGTAACATGCGAAGGTGTAGTGTGATCGTCCGGGTGAGTGTAGTCCTGAGAAGGACTGTTGTCGGTGGTAGTGACTGACGTTTCGACAACAGTCCTTCTCAGGACTACACTCACCCGGACGATCACACTACACCTTCACAATCAAGAGCTCTCTTAGTTGGTGATCATTTCCTTCGTTCTCCTGACCTTTACGTGTGACTTGCGGGGTGATATTGTAAGGAGAAATTAGATGCTGGTCAGAAATTTGATGCTGGTCACTCTTAAGGGTCAAAGGATTAACCGGTTTCTTAGCTTCTATTTTCCTGTTTTAGACGTCACGGTGAAATAGACATAAGAGATATTCTCGCACCTCGAATAGTCCTTTTTACAGTTGTGGGCTTGGTGGCCAAGCCTTTGAACAGGAGTGAGGCTAAGGGTGACCCTGTTGTATTTGAAAAGCAGCAACATCTCTATCTTAACAAGGTCACAGTTAGCCTCACTCCTGTTCAAAGGCTTGGCCACCAAGCCCACAACTGTAAAAAGGACTATTCTTTCACATTCTTGGTATCAAAAGTTTCTATTATAACCCACTTTGCTGAGGACAACTCTCCCGTCAGTCCCACGAGGTGTGGGGGCAATTCTGCCACGACTAAACGGGTCTCCAATTATTCGCTTCCGTCACATTTCGATCAAACTATTCTGTTTTACCTCGAAAACTGGGCTGTTCATGAGCAATATTTGAAGAGTGTCATGTAGTAACATACGATCTGCATCTCACCCTATCGTTGTGCCATAAAATTTTAGAATATTTGCTAAACTGAACAGCATCACAGCGCCCGGCTCTGACACAATGACCTGCTCCACTCGTACCTACGATAATCAAACATACATCAACAAAAAACAACCACAGAATTCATTTATTTTAGCAATTAAAATACACATCTAACAATCCCTACCCACAAAATAGCGAAGCTAATCGAGAAGGGAGGGAACAACCATACATCAACAGACGGTCTTACATTAAAACAAACAAACGCACAGACATTTTAAGCTACAATAGACGACAATTTACTGCAGGAATAATGGTATCAGCCTGCTTAAAGAGATGTGAAACTGAAGAAAGTTCACGTTTAAAGACTTGAGTAAAGCTAGGGGGGGTTTGGGCACCACTAATGAGATCCAGACTCCTCGCCGACCTTTCGTTGACTAGCTTTGGCTCTAGATCTCACACTTTTTCGTGAGCACTGAAAGACTGACGTGTCGCAGCGCTAATGTGGGCCTGCTCGATGGCTAAACTAAGATTCTTCAAATTGATGAAGCAGCTTACCTTAAAAGGTCTACAAACCCCTTCTGTTATGTGACTAAGAATTTCTTTTTGTACGTTATCACCTGCTGCAAAGGTAAAGTGAAACAATTCATTTAACAAAATTAACGAATGAGACAAGACGAATATTTCCCACTCCATTGTGGCTGTCTGTTAGTATTTATTTTTTAACAGTTATCCACCGCAGTGAAAGTGAATATTGATGGATATTTACCAAACTGCAAGGTATATATATATCTTATTAACCAAGCGCAAGGGCCGTACTGGGAGAATATCGGCCCGAGGTCTTGACAGTACGGACCGAGCGCAGCGAGGTCCGTACAAAAAAGACCGAGGGCCGATATTCTTCCAGTACGGTCCCGAGCAAGCTTGGTTAATAAGAGATTTATTACACGACTGAAGTTCAAAGGAACACAAGTGCGGTATCATTCGGGACCATTCGGGACAGTGCCCGGTCCAATACTGAGAGAATATTGACCGGCAATAGAGCATTTTGATTGGTTGATTTTAGTTATTGGCCCTCTGACTTCTCGAGTCGTGTAATAAATTCAGGTATTCAATTCTCTGCACAAGTAAATGAAACAAAACTAAAATCAAATCAAAATCAAACATACTTGATGATGAGTTTCTTAGTAAACTATGAAGAAGTTCCTTTTCTGACGCTATTGCCTGGTGAAGCCACGCCAACATATCACCCACATATCTGTAAAAAATTCAAAACGATAGTACCGTGATAACAATATGCATAACCCAAATTCTTAAGGTTGAGTCTTAGAAGCCAAAATGACCCAAAATTTTCCATGCTTATTCTCAGTTTTTGCAGCAAGAAGCAACTAGAAGTTACTCTTGTAAGGTACAAGGATCCAAACAGTGTTCCTGTTGGAGCCGTTCAAGCTGTGCAGTCAGATGTAGTTTTGCTCGGACAGGACCCAACATCCTTTAAGTCATATCTCAATAAATCCCACCCCCTTTCCTCATAAATAAGTGTATTTACCATGCTTTCAGAGGGCATTTCCGAATTACTTTTGGACCATTTTTATAAAAGAGGCATGGTGCTCAACCATTTGTGCGAAAATAAGTTTAAGATGTATGCAAATGAAAATTTACCAGGACTCACTTGGAAAGAGGCCGAAGGTAGTTTGGAAATGGTCTATTAAATATGCAGCCTTGAACTTACTGCAGGAAAAGTGCTAAAGGTGTATTTAAACCCCTAACTTCTCTCGCAATCAAATTTGTATTTACAAGCGTAAACAACCAGACAAAATGTCTGGCCAGTAAAGGAGTTTACCAGACAAAACTTATATTTAACTGGATATTGCCTGTAGACCTGCTGTTATTTTGAGCCTGGTGGTCCATCACAGGTTACTCACCACCCCCCCCCCTCCCAGCAATTTTTTGGGTTTCCCTAACATCCTTCCCCTCTAGAGAGAGGAGCAGCAACCAGATCACTCTCTCTCACAGAAATTGTCAACCACTGATAACATAGAATCACAATGAAATAATAAATAATTGCATTTGTATTTGTATTAATTTTATAGATTCATACAGTGTAGAGGCGAGAGAACAATAGGACATGTAGTCCCCTGCTAGGTTCATCCGCCTAAACCAACCCCAACCCACCCATCCCACCCCAGGGGAGGACATCCATCACACAGTAATCTCGTGTGTGGGTAATTAACGTCTCCTACCCCAACCCTGCAAGAGATGGGACCTCCATTTATTCGTCCCTATCTGAGAAGATTAGAATATCTAACCATTTCTTGATGTTGTAGAAAGGTAGCATATTCTTCTCAATTATTTTAAGACCTTGAGTGTTGGTCCAGTGGGGTCTCGAACCCTCAACCTCCCGCACAACAGTCCAGTGCTCTATCCATAAATATATAAAATAACAACATTCATTTCAAAGCTATGAGGTTATGCCTACAGTGCAATCCAATAGCAATAAAGTAACATTATCCCACGCACAATTCAGTGTGTAGATGTTACTTTCTGTATCAAGCTTTTAATGTTTACAGTACATCTTAGAACTAGTGTTACTGAGTACACATAGACCATTTTTTTTTCTGAAGACCTACAACACTCTAAGATTTTCCTACCTAACTGGATCATGTGAATGTAATTCAATTGGTCTAGGAGTTCCACCAGGTCCTAAAAGGTAAACACGGGCAAAATGTCACATATCAGGAAGCTGTGGTTCAAACATTTTATGTTATTGTGTACAGACAATAATTATTATTGTACAGACAACCCCACTAGTATAAATTCTTTTTTCTCTGCAAGAATCCAAGCTGACATCTTCATGGTACTTTATCCCCTTAAAGTGTTGATTTTTTTTTTTTTTAAATATGCCACCTGCTCTGAGCCCCATGATTTTTCCTGTTATTTCTTTCGTTTCGTAATTGCAGTGTAATCTTATCAACATTGTAAGTAAAAACTTAATAAAGAAGAAGTCAATAATCTGTGGCATGTTTGTCTTTAAATTTTTCCACCCTCAGTCTCAAAATCTGCCATTCTGTTCGTGATTCAATCTATTTAAAAAGATCCTCAAAATCAGTTGACTTAGTCAAACAGTACAAGAAAACATGCCTCCTCTTGTGAGTGCATCAATGAAGCATCTCACCACAGCAGTTCTTCTGGCTGTGCCATATTCATCTAAAGTATACCTATGGAAAGTAAGGAATAGGCAAATTAATGACAACTGGGAAGATGCATATTCCCACAATCAGAATGTTTTGGGAAAAACAAAGAAATAATATTAAGAAATGAACATTCAAAGCAGTACAGTGTTCATCTCCTACATGTAGCACATACAGGTAACAGTTTGTGGAAATTGATTAAATTAAAGTTTAACAGGAAGGGGAGGAGGGGTAGTTGGGGGATTGCACAGTGATTCTTTACCCACCAGGGAGGGAGTGGGGGTTGCAAACTTATTCTTCACCCACCAGGGAGGGCAAGTGGGGTGGCACAGTGATTCTTTACCCACCAGGGAGGAAGTGGGGGTTGCAAACTTATTCTTCACCCACCAGGGAGGGCAAGTGGGGTGGCACAG